AAAAAAAAAAAAAAAAAAAAAAAATAAAAAAAGAAAAAAAACACCACGGTGTAGCCATGCGTGCGAGGCAGCCGGATGGCGTCCGGCTAATTGAAAATCCGCTCTCGTCGCTGGTACGGAGAATTCGCGAGGCACTTGGCGACTTTTTCTCCAGTTGTGGCCGGCATTTTCGCCGGGGATACAAAAGAGGACGAGGCTCGCGGAGAAAGAGGTCGCGGAGGCGCGGGAAAAGGAAGAGCACGAGGAAGAGAAAGGAGAAGGGGAAGACGGTTAATCGGTGCCAGAGTACCGTTGTACCTGAATGGAGGCAGCGAGATGGCTTTCGGTTTCCCTGCAGCCTCCGTCGCAGCTGCAGCTCCGTTCTCTTCTCTTCTCTTGTCTAGCTAGCCGTCAGTCTTCACTACTTACATACGCGGACACGTGGCTGCACGCGCGTGCACGTGAAAGCGCGCCACAGTTTCTTCTTCTTTTTCCTTTTTCCTTCAGTTTCTTTGCCGCGCGCGCATTTCCGCCTCGGATTCCGCCCGTGGGACAACCGTTTTCAACCACGTGCACCTGCAGCTGGAACACGAGGACTCGTGCAACAGCTGCTAACGCCTTTCCTCGCTCGTTTCCTTACCGTTAACGCGTCCATAGTCGCGGCTATGCGTGCATTCTCTTCGACTCAATTTCGAGGAACGAAAGGTATTTTGGTTGTTGTTTGCTGTAAATGGTGCCATTTCGGGATGGGACGTTGGCTTTGGGACTGATGTACGAAAGTTTGAGACACGCAATGGTGAAGATAGTGAATGAAGAGGCATTTCAGGTACTCGAACTCTTTGACAAGGAAGGGAATCCTTGAGAGGGAGTTTAACGAAGATTTGAAGTGAAGTTTCAGAACGTTTGTAGAATGACACGTGTGTGACAGATGCGCAAGAGGTAAGTGGAAGGATTTGAGATACTTAGGTTTATTATTTCATTGTATTGGTTAAGGGATAATATATGTTTCGTGGTGGTTGTAAAATTTTTCGTACACATGACGTGGATAAGTGCAACTGAAAGCAAATTGAAGAACTGAGAAAAAGAAACGAATCTCACGAAAGAATTTTAATACTGATTTTAATCAAAGTTAAAATATAATTTTCAATTATTTTGTGTGTGATAGATGCAAAAATAAATAAAGTAATTTAAATTTCAGTGAATTTCTTGTACGAGAGACTTCAATTACAAACATTACATATAATACTGAAACATTATAAAATCTTATAATTGAAAATATTATACGTCAATGGACTCGAATTTGTGGTTGTTAACGTGTAAATTGCATTCATGATATCGTGATCGGTTTTGAAGTTGCTTCGAGATAAATCTTTATTGTTTCGCATTAATAAATGATTATACTTCTATCAGTGACATGCATTCTATTCTTGGCCATTAAACACTGACTTAATGAACTCATTCAAAACAAACTTTTACTTAAGTTTTTAATTCAACATTTTTTCTCGCGAAAAATTTAAACAGTCAACTCGACTCATATTTTAATTTATTGGTCAAGGTTGATCAAGGGTTCGAACGATAGGAGCGACATAGGGCGTTTGGAATGTTTAACTTTCACTGTGGTCTATGTTCCTTTCAGCATGTAAATTAGTAGCTTGTACAACACATTAAGTACCCAAATCTGTTCAATTGATTTAATAAATCTTTTTTAGAAGTTTTAAGATAGAAGTACACCTCCGCTCAAAAATCTCAGGACAACAAAGAATCTGTATTAATTAAATTGATATTAAAAATAAAATCTGTAATAATTATTAAAAATATTTAAAAAATCGTACTACAAAACATACGTGCAATTTAAAAATGTTCTGCAATGAACATTGACTATTAAAAATATTAAAAGTCCAAAACTTTTGAGTAGATGAATTAAAGAACAAATAAGGAATGATAATTAAGGAAACTATAATTTATCATAAAAACACTGCATTTATAGAAAATTTTCATGCATGAAATTGCACACAGTGCATGTAATATGAAAAAAATAATATCCTCTATAATAACACAATTTTCTAGGAATTGTAACTATTACAATGTAAATATCTCGTTTAGCCCTTGATATATTTTTCAGAATTTTCTCTTTCACGTTATAATTTCAATAATTATAATTTTACAAAATCGGATACGCGAATCAACAAAACCTCGGGCTAGATAAAGCCACGCTCGTGTTTCTATCTCGGTGAATGTACCGCGGTATGCAAACCACGAGATTACTTTTTTCTTGTACCAGTCGACGAACCTGATCGCGTGTAACACAATTCCGTCGATCGTTCAACCGTTTGATCCATCTTGCGTTACACTTGGTTACGCTATACGACGCTCCACTTTTCATAAATTACTAGAGAATCATTCCCATCGATCTTCTCAATGACCTGGAAACTCTCTCTTCACGCGTATCCTGCGCATTCATAACTATTAGAAAACACTTACAGAAAATCAAATATGGTTGTTTGTGTTTGCTATGTGTATAACTCTGTTTTAACACGATCTTTTGGCGGCTGT